ATTCCCAGTCAATGCCTGTATGGTGCGTTTGTATGTCTATATCCTCCTGGTCTTATTTGTGGTAAGTCACAACAATATTTAATGGTTATAGATTAACAGCAAATCAGTCGTAAGTTGTCTATTAACCACAACACATTATTTCATAGATCCATCAGAACCCATCTGCCCCAATGGTGATGATTACTATACAAGTACATCAACAGATGTTAATTTCTGTACACTTCCACTGGATGCACCATTGGATCTAACACAAGGGGATTGCCCGGCTGATTATTTTTGCCATCCTTTAGACCTCGGATACAGTATATGCTGCCCAGCAACTTGTAAGTCTTTCCTTTCAATACAAATCGTCTTCAGTGGTGATTGTTAATGCGATCTTTCATCTCAACTCACATTGTTTACGGACACGAGATAATTGATGAGATCAATCAATAGTATGTGTATTTATATTTATATCTGTAGCTGGGATTGCGTTGTTAATGGAGTTCTGATTCCAAATGGCGGAGTAATTTTGATGCCAGACTGTGTGTTATGGTGGGTATTATAGATTTCCCTATATTGTACATCATAAATGTAATGACATTTGCATATTCAATGCCCATTCTGAAGCAAAGACATGTTGTGACTACTTAGTACAATGCTGGTATCTTTCTCACTATAATGTTTTTTGTTGACATTTCCAGTAAATGTGTAAACGGTGGTATGAAATGCCTTGAAAAAATACCATGCGGTAAGTTATGTTAAATATGTAAGCAGATATTAGAAAAACAGGAACACATATACAATCACGTTCTTCTAGTGTGACTACGTTTATAATTAACGGTAGTATGTATATTATTCAGATGAAATATGTCCGAACGGAGGTGATCCTTATGTAGAGGATGGTGTTGGAACAGTGTTCTGTACAGGAGCTCTTCTGACATCAGAATACTACACAACGACAATTAAACATTGTCCCAGAGGATATGAATGTACTCCGCTAGATACGAGTGGTCTATCGGTGTGCTGTCCTATCAGTAAGTACCGTACCGCAGGTCATTTGCACTAATAAATATGGGCGAAAATAATCACACTTAATTATTGGCTAGAACACATATGATCAGCAACCTTGCACTATTTTTACCTGCCACGTAATATATTTTTAGCGAAAAACAATTTGAAAATTCCAATTTTAAACCAAATTCAATAAAAATCAAGTTTTATTTTGAATACAATGAATACATTTAAAGCCATAACTACTCCTCTTGATACAGCATGCCATATAAAGTCATTTTGAGATACAATATAACATGCAGTTGTTAACCATGTAAACCAAATCACCATTTGCGTGTGTGATCAAAAGTAGTAGATGACAATATAGTGATGTCCTGGCTTTGTGAACAGCATCACAAAATAAAAACATGTTGTAATAGTCAAAGACGTTTGTGATAATGGTAGCCAAACACTTTAATATCAATCAACAATTATAGAATATGTTCTATTCAATACTATATTTGACTCATTTTTGTCTTGTTCATAGGAGGTCTAAAAGGGTGCCCCTGTCCCCAAATTCCAAAAGATACCTTTACAGTATGTCTAATAGACTGTGAAAATTGTATGAACCATCCTCCTCACGAAATTTGCTGCATTGATGAGAAGATTTGTCCAGGTCACTGTGTTGGCTTCGGTAATACTGTAGGTGAGTTATCTTTACGTTAAGTGAAGTAGATAATAACGTGTAATTACAATTACAAGTGTGTAAAATAAAGCATGTTCATGTTGTATTCCAATGTGTACCTGTGCATCAACCAAATTGTGTGTTTTTCTTGTAGGTTACTGTAAATATGATTGTGAATACTTTAAGCCAGGAGATACTATAAAAGTGCCTCCATGCACAGAATGGTATTTAGTATTTAATTATATTCTGTTTACATCGGTGTTGTTACAACTCATCTACCTTTATGTGGGTGTATGTTGTCTAATGTACAGTGTTTATCATTTGCAGCCAGTGCACAGATGGCAATTGGAATCCCTGCATAACCGACCCATCTTGCAGTAAGAAACATACCTTTTATGACAATGATTATGCAACTAAATTGTTAAATTAACATTGTATGCGTGATTGTAAATCTACGGAAGCAGTAACGGCATAATGCCGCTAAAGAAATATGCAGAGAGTATCTTATGAGTGATCCCCAATATTCGACTGGCTTGTTAACCGAGTGTAGTAACTTTGTTTCGAACCTTTGGTATAGTTTATTGTTTTACTAAACGAGTTAAATACATCTCATATTGTAGAGTCACGATTTTAATATCATGTGTATTCATGTACCCATTTCGCAGCTTCTAAAGGTTAAATACTAACGCAATGTTAGTCCGTATTCAAAAAAATGTAGATCGCCCTTGCTCATTTTCATAGTTGATCGCCGTTCATGAACGAACATTACTGTTAGTTTACCTTATTACGATTAGGTAATATAGACAATTTTGAGGCATTACAATATTTAAGTTCAATCTGACCAATCAGATTGCCTTGATTTTATTACATACTACATTATAACACTGCTTTTTTTACACTGAACTGCCATGATATATGGGATAAATGCCGTTTTTATTTACTCGCATTACAGATTGTGTTACCCCACTAACGGATGATGCAGGTAATCTAGTCGAATGTACGCTAAACCAAAAGTGCCCCGAGAATGGTTTCACTTGTATCAATGGAGTATGCTGCAGCAATGGTATGATATACAATCCCATACAATATATTTTTCATCTGATCGACGCATATCTCTCGATTTCGCGACCAGTACGTAAAAGTCGAATGTTGCGCATGTTTTAGACTTGTGTGCATATAGTAATTTCGTTGTAACAGTGTATTGCACATGTTCTCGGTATAACACCTATCGTATTCTTCTTCCAACATGTGCCCATTGTTTAATATTTCGATGTTCGGTATATTTATTAGGTTTTATATTGCCTCACATATATACTAAGCATAAACACACACACACATCTCATTGTGCTCCTTTTTATCAATAGAGTGGGTTCCATGTGAGAATCCTTTGTTAAATTCAACTGGATTCCCGTACAATTGCGTGTATAAAGGGTGTCCAAGTGGGTATTCTTGTGTTGCGAATTCCGACAATTATGGAGTATGTTGTCCAGGTATGTTTTATCAAGAAGAAGCTTCTTACATTATACGGTCAGAAATGAACAGTTTGTCATCTTATCGAAATTTGGTTTAAAGGGTCTACTTACGTGAATATAATAATGATAATAGCAAAATACGCGCTAGTAATAAAGAGAAGTGACTTCGAAAGACTGAATGCTCTTTGTAAACTTCATATATTGGGCTCCGGTTTTAGTTATAAACTAACGTTCGCTTCACGTTCATGTTCTACCACGGCAACAGCTGAAAACATGTCTGTTTTTTAGGGACATGGATCGCCAGTCAGCTTGTTCTACTTTATGTCGTATTATATTAATTAATATTAATTGTTTGGTATCTAATTACGCAGACAAATACCCATGCTGCCTTGAGCCCGAATCTGGACCGTGTGACGATTATATTCCACGATGGTATCACGACTGTCGAGATGACACGTGCAAAGAATTTATTTATAGTGGATGCGATGCGAATGATAATAATTTCCTGACTAGAGCAGATTGTGAGAAAACATGCGGAGGTAAGAAAACAAAATCATGTGCATATTTATAAATAAACAATGAAACGACTGTGAAATGGACTATTGAGGGGGACATGTTAACACAGTCTGACTCACCACATAATATTATCAATATTTTAGGTGACTGTTGTTTGCCTGTCAACCCTGGTGAACCGTGTGAACCGGTTAAATTTAGGCTGCTTCCCAGAATTTTACACATTTGCAACAGTTAATAAATATCTGAACACGTGTGGGTGTGTGTGTGTGTGTGTGTGTGTGTGTGTGTGTGTGTGTGTGTGTGTGTGTGTGTGTGTGTGTGTGTGTGATTATCACCGTGATGAATGACATTGCATTATATCTTTTTCACACAAAAAAGTTGGTCCATGTGTGTGTCCCAGGGATTTTGTGGGTGAGACTTGCTGGCTTACTTGTGATCTTTGTGATGAACATGCATCTGTGACGCCTGGCTATTTGTGTTGCGTAGACGACGGTTGTCCGGCACCATCGTGTTTAGGAGGAGTATACACACCAGGTAATAAGCTTTAAATGAACGTACTGATTTTAGGGGAATATCTGCCTTTTCTGTTTCGTATCCAATCCTGTTTCAGTCACAGAGGTATCGTTCAGAATAAATGTTTCACACTGCGGATTAGGTTGTGAATCCTGGAATAAATTGCTGCCAATTTGTTTAAATTTAAATACACTATAAACCCATTAATTGTTACTGAGAGTTAAAGTGGGGGAGTAGTCACATGCGCATGCACTAAATGGCTATAGCGTGTCATTGTTTACAAACAAGCGTCTACCCATGAGCCTTTGCACTTTTAGCGTGTGTTGTTATCGTCGCTTGGGACTTAATTCCCGCGCGTGCGCAGGTGACGACCCTCCCGCTTTAAAGTACGGCTACGAAGACACTAACTAGTAATCGTCCGTGACTTTGTAATACAGCCCATTTGGCGAGTTTTTTTTCTTCAGCCCTGTTATTACAGTGTATGTGTTACAACTAACCCCTTTTGCACATAATTTGCATCTGAATTTGCATATCATTGTAAAGTACATGTGTTTCAAACAAAAAAAGCTTGTCAATCTGATTACCGTTGCTTCAAAATTTAGAGTTTTGCTGCTCATAAAATGTACCATGTTTAAATAGAAAAATGTTGTGCTACCGTCTTAAATCACGTGAGAAAAACCTAGTTCTGAACGACAGTTCTATCATGGTAATTTTCTTAGAACAAAGAACATAAAAAAACGAACACTGAAAGAAAATATACCTATTAAGCGGGAATAACATTTTCCAGCGAAGCAATGAGTTTTATTGTTATTTTACATGTAAACGTGATTTTAAAAAACGAGCAAATGGTTGATGGATGTGCATTACACGAGTCTAGTGGTGTTACGTGATGCACATTGTAAATACATTTCGATAAAACCGCCATATTGATGACGTAATCGGAAGAAAATTTACCATTAATATGCTCTCACAAATGTTCTTAATTTCCACAGAAGGGTTTTGTGAGTTGGACTGTGAATATTACTCGCCAGGAGATGTAGTGAATGAAGACTGTGAAATCTGGTAATGAGTTGTTATTGTATTGTATAAGCCCCTTTCCAATTCCATCCTCCATTGTATTTCCCATGATGCTTAGAGAGAGGTCACGGGGTCACGGGGTATATACCACACAGCATCAGCATATATCCATAGTACGGTCCTATACACTCATTAAAGTAGATATAGGCTGAGAGGACACGATTTAACTAAACAACAAATTTAAAAATGTTAAATGTTGGTTACAGCCGAGTCAACAGTTTAAATTATTATGAAAGAAACTGTTAAATGGCTCTTTGTTAACCATGGAACTGTTAAAAAGCTAACACTAGGATCACTTCCTGTACTGTTGTACACTGGAAAAAATCAGATGAACAGAAAAAATCAACACCCAGTAAAGCGTGCTTTGCTGTTAAAAGTTAACTTATTTAAAAATTTTCACAAAGCCTTTTTTATACATTCAATGAACATCCTCTGTGCTGAAATGTCAAGGTATCCAACAAGTAATTGAAATTTATTAACACTTACACATTCCCTGGTGGGATTGGCAATGTTTAAGAATAAATAATAGGAAAAATAGGAAATGCACATAAACAAATTAGACAAGGCTAAGCTAGCACATTACATAAAAAAAAAATGTTAAGACTAAATTATTCAACTATAAAAAAATGGACAATAATGCAAAGCTTTATATGACTACAAATATTATGAACAAACTGAGTCATTTAATGAAATAAAGATTTCCTTTGCAATTAAAACACACTATAAACTAATCTGTCAAAGGTTTAAGTTAATCACAGTGAAAAATATTGAGAAAACTCACCTTAAATGGTTGGTTTCTGGAAAAAATAGAGCTTGTTGTGTATAGTACTTGTATCAGTGCTGCTTCCTGTACTCAATGTTTATACCCCGTGACCCCGTGACCTCTCTGTAAGCATCATGGGAAATACAATGGAGGATGGAATGGAAAGGGGCTTATAATATCTCATTATTCCAGTGTAAAACGTGTTTCAGCTTTTCCGATGTGTCACCGGACCTAATAGTTAATATCCTACAGTCACTATAAGGTACAAAGGCTAGAAACCCTAAGTTGTATCCCTGCGTTTGCAGGCCTTTCGTTAAGTTGCGCAGTATTGGCAATTACCTCTTGGACTTCAACAGCGTTTTAAATTGTCAACTTTACAACATTATTCATAAATGCATTTACCTAAAAATTAAGAATTCATTTTATATACCTTTCTATATTTGTTATCAGTAAATATCAAAAATCAAAAATAATATCGATAATATCACCGTCTAATTCATAATGCGTTGACTACATATGGTTTTCACAACCTAAGAGGGAGCTTGAAGAGTATGTTTGGGCTCAGTACAACTTGTGTATCACTATACAATTACTCTAAACGCACTCACGTTTTGTTGACAGGTTACTCAAATGGTGAATTTCCTCATTGTTGTGGACAAGTCAAGGATGTTTATTTCGAGTTTATCTAATGGTAAATAGCAATATTAATTGGGAGAACTTGTAAGATCATGATCCCTGTCATGGCGAAGTTACTCAAAGCGGGAAAGTCGTCACCTGCGCACGCGCGAGAATTGAGTCCCAGGTGACGATAAGAACACACTGACATCTGACACATGCGCAGGTGACGACTCCCCCACTTTAATATTACAATTTTTAAAGACAATTAAAACTCCAATGCTCCAAGGTAAAAACAACAATATTTTAAAATGAGTAGTGACACGAGGTTGTTATTAGTGTACCCTAAGTGAACTTGTTATAATACTACATTTATGCCGCGTTGGAAATGTAATTAGAAGATGAATCACGATAACTATAATACTTTGTTGGATTCCAGTGCATCACTACGGCTGCCATGTAAACTAAAATTATTCTCTTTATAAGTCTTCGTAATTTATATTTCCATTGTTTCAAATAATTGACGCAGAGAAAGATAAAGGGAATCGTGATGAACCTACTAGTATATCAACGCATACAAGTGTGCGTGGCTTTTTTGATAGATTGATTTGCAAACTAATTCGTATACTTATCGTGAAATATATTAATACCGGAACGTATTCATAATTGCCTCGTTACTGTTTACTATATTCCAGTGAATAGAATATAATTTAATCGTCTCACATATTATAATACAAATTGATGTGTACCCATATAAAAATATCGTAGGATTACAATTGCTCTTTTGTTGCAATGTCGTTATAATGACTAATTTACCGATGTGTTACACAATACTGGTACTGAATTGTGCCGAACAACAATTAACTCCGATCCCTCAACCAACTACGATTAACGGGGGGCATCAAACGACTGCTGTATTATCGACACACAGGTGCATGCCCTGTTATCTATTGTGAATGTGCTATACGTCATAAGTGTTATAGCATACTAGTTTAGGGACCGAGGGAATACGCTATCATCGAGACGTCTAGACGCTCGTCTGTTAACACAATTTATAAATAACATCAGTTCCAATGAAAGCGTGTCTTACCATACTTGTTTGGGGGAAACAAGGGATATAGTATCATTGAGGTGCCTGGATGCGCGTCTGTGTACATAATTCGATAACAAATCGGTGATGGCCTTTTTTGCTTTTATGTAACGATGTTTGTAAATGCATCATCTCGTAAATAATTTAGAAAGTATGTCACACAGTGTACATATCAAAGACATTTCTTTGACCTATTGTTGAGCATCAGCGGGCGTGTTCTAATTTCCGATATTGTTAACGTACGCCTAGACGAGCTACAAGGGGTTGATATGTTGTAGTTAATCTCAGGTCAGACAATATTCTAGTTCAAATTCATGTATTAACACATTTATTTTAATGAAAAAAATTACCATGTGATCTCAACAGAGAAAAATACTGTAATGAGCCACAAAACCACAAAACACACTCATTCACAAACTACAAACAACACCAATTATAGCACACTACATTCAAATTCTGTGCGGTGATATACAATATTACGCAGTCCCAAGAGAATAACAATATTTGCGTTATATTCCGTGCCTGGATGACATTGTTTCAAAATGGCAGTCTTTTTCGACAGAAATGATCAACAGCGGACTAAAATATTGAGCACCTTACTGTTCTGAAAAATAAAACGTTGTCGTAAAGATAGTTATCCGAGATATCAAGCCAAAATCGACGACGAAGCCACGCAGGAGGTTGTGGAAGGTGGTCAGACCTTGATATTTAACGGGCTATAGGGATATTGTATACGGGGGAACATCATGATAAAGACTTCCCATTTTTTACATTTTGACATTTTTTGACAAGAAAATTCAGAAATGTATAAGAATAATATAACGAGATGTATTACATATGCACACCAATAATATTTTTTATGATTACAGATTAATTAATTTCATAAAAATAATTAACAATTTCCTCTATATTTTTGCATTTTATTTGTTTTAGATGACTGAAATGGGTTAAATTCCAAACGATGTAGTGTTTCCAATAACTCATCACGTATAAACAATACCTTTAATATGATTTTACTTGGTACGCCGTCTGTCGTAGAGATTCGCTCCCGGGGCGCATAAGGTGGTGTCGGGTGTATTTGTAATAGGTAATTTTTCGTCCGACTGAAGCTGCTAAAATTTGGTTTATGGGCTCATGGAAGAAGAAAAAGGCGTCGAAGATAAAACTGTATTCACTGCTCTTGAATTGTTTTGACTTGCGTAAGTGTGTGCACAAATGCATTCGGCTCAATAAGAATGACCTGGGAGATTGTCAAGCATGACTGAGTGCCACGGTTTCTGTTTTAGTTTAGAAGATATTTGATTGATTGCAATTTTTAGTAACCCCCCCCCCCTTCAGAACTCAATGTCAACCTCAGGCTCGGTTTTGCCTCGTTTGAAAATTATATCTTCTGATCGCTAAAACGGTATATCCACTTCAGTTGGGGTGAACATTTGTATATTGGCAATGCACAGTGGTCGCAATAATTACATTCACTATACAGAATTTGAATTGACATGTTATAGTGCATACAATTATGAGAGCCATGACCTCAGCTTATTGAATTGAGAAACATACCTAACCCGGGCCTAATTCCATCTCATCTGACGGAGTAAGTACAGAACTAACAAAATAAACTGTTGAATAAAACGCAATGCAATGACTAACTGCCATTCTTCGTTTAAAGAGCGGTTTATTCTTATAATAGGAGAATGTCAATCATATGCTCTATCAGGAAGTGTGGAAATATGTTGATGCCATCACTATTAATTGTGATGGCGTTGTATTTTTATTGAAATACAACATCGGTGAACTTACGATTATTAATTAGCCTGAATGAGGCGAAGTGTTGGAGTGGCCTAGTTTACTGACGCAATTTTACAGCAATTATAGCCGAAAATATATTACGCCAATAACTATTATCGGGTAAATTAATTGTGTCAAATATGATAAGATGTTTGAGTGAAGATTGTAATCTCATTCGTGTTCAAGTGATAATGACGCATTTTGTTGAATAAAAGCGTGTTTCGAAACGATGTCGTTGATGTCACGTTGCGTTAATCCAATGTTTAACATTGTTGTGGGCTTGTGAATGACGTATTTATAAAGTTCGAACTTGATCACTTGATCTGCACTGGCATTCCTTAGATGCTGATCGAACGAGGGCTAATAAATTGGAATGTTAACTACCGATGTTAACATAGCAATTGCGTGAGAATGTTAACGCATGAAATACTAGTCGGCAGCATCTTGTCGACCGCTAATATTGGAACACACTTTTGGGATTATAATGTCACCATTCGTACAGTTGATTGCAAAACAACAACATAGACCGCTGTCATATCAAATTGTCATTCCTTTTGTAAATTACAAACAACTAATTTAGTAACCACTACCCCGAATACAGCATTGTCTTTAGGTTAAAGAAAGTAGTAATACTATATATACTACATAATTACCATACGTCATTCAAACCATTCCGTAGATACACTACTGATACCTGGGGATGTTGATATTAATTTTTGATATTATTACCAA